AAAAATAAGGTAAATAAAATTAAGGGTGTCAAAAAAATTTAGGTAACAATTAAAAAGACATTAAGTTTGAGAGGTTTAACTAAATATTTGCAATGTGCATATATTTTCAAAGCTTTTAGGTTTAAAAAGTACTTACACATTTTTATAATTTCTAGATTTATATTATATTAAAAGGACTTTCAAGTTTATCACTCATTTCTGTAGAAACAAGTGTTTTCTCGCCAAGTTAAACCAGATGTCATTTAAGGTTTATGTATTTAGAGTTAAATACCTGGCCTGGCTATTACCCAAACAATACAAATATGTCCATTGGACGTCCATTCGATATACACTTTTGGATGTCTAGACGTCCAAAAATGGAATATATTTGGACGTCGAATACTGGACATTCAAAAAACGTCCAGGATTATATTTCCATTGAGACCACATCCCCACTTTTTTATAGAACCGCAACTCACCACACACTATTTTATATTATTAATAATTTGTTTATTATTTTCGCAAATCGCTATACACCATTTATTTATTTTTTATTAAAAATCGCAAAAAACTTGAGCAGGAATCAGATTCAATTTGTCAATTTTTAATGACCAGTTATATTAAAAAAAAGAAGTATATATAGATGGATATTATCTGGTAGGCTTAATAAATAATGACCTAAGATGGACGTCTACTGGACGTCAAAATACTACTGAACTTAAAATTAAGTCCAAAAACAGACGTTCTCTGGGTAACGATATTCAGCTGTCAATTTAATTAGCATAAACGGACGTACACTGGATGCCCGGATATGGACGTCCTAACCCTCAAATAGATCTAAAGTGGACGTCCATTGGACTATGTGTGCAAAGACGAATTTTTAGAAATAGTACTTATTTAAGTATGCACCAATATTTCCAAAGTCAACTCCAGGATGATTCATTCAATAAATGTAAATATGAATGGGCAAAACATCTTTATATTGACATAATTGTAACTTAGCCATAATAAAGGGATTTTGCCCACTTTGACCAATCCTAATTGAAATACGCCAATTTATTATATTTTTTAAATATAATTTTAAAATAAAATAAACAAAATCTGCAGGTCATTGTTTATTAAATTTATTTAAAAGAAGAAAAATATATATTTCACAAAATACAATACCTACATATGAAAAATAAAATGTCAAAAATGATTAAATCATTATACTTAATATTTATGCATGTGATAAAATTCTTAGTTTCCTAATAACTTTTTTGGCACATTTTATATCTGTATTAGGATACCTAAGTGTGTAAAAATATTCATCTTATTACTACACAAAACAAACACAAAAAAATATCACTTAACATTGCTCACGTACTAAACACAACTTGGACTGACTTTGACAGATAACATAATTTTGAGTGATACACAACTTATTTTCGCACATGCGCGTTACAAAACGGTCCACTGAAAACACCAAGCTGTCGCTTCTCCTTGATCGGTATTCTCGGGTGATACCGTTCACCGCCGTTCATGAATTGTCCATATTTGATTACTGAGAGTAACTTATTAACTTTTTATTTCTAAAACCTATAGTTCGAATCATATTTAATTTTACTATTGTAGACTTTTTGTCTTATGGCTAAAACCGGTTGTTTTCATTAGTAGGAAAGAATTTGTGCTAAGGGTGTTAGTGTCCACCGTTATATTTTTTTTAAAGGAAATTATTATTTTTATTTTCTCATGAGTATAGTATAGGTCATAGTTAATTTTACCGTTATAGCACTTTTCTGTTAATACCGCATTTATTTATGCATTTATTTTATTACCGCTATTAAATTTATATATACCGATGTCACCCTCGTTCCATTTGTTTTATTTTAATTATTACTTATTTATTTTATTTTGTAAATATATTTTTGATTATAATTCCTGAGTTTAATTTTGAATTACTCCTTTACTTTTCCGTTTTCAGAGCTTAGTTACTAATAGGTAAAAGTGCAGTGAAAAATGTTATTTACTTTATTACCCCAGTGTAGGTCTGGTCGTTTTATTTATTTTTTTTGTTTGTACCTGGACTCCACTGAGTCTGCTGAGGGTGTACTCTAAGTGCACCCCAGGGCCGCAGAGTAGACTGCGTTACCAAAACTGGCGCCTGAGCAACCCTTGTTCGAAGAACAGCCTAGCGCCACCCCAACCCCTTCTTTTTATTTTTAGAGACTAAGAAAGGGGTCTCACAACACACACGCGCACAGACATACACACACACGCGCACAGACATACACACACACACGCGCACAGACATACACACACACACGCGCACAGACATACACACACACACACGCGCGCGCACAGACATACACACACACGCGCGCGCACATACACACACACGCGCGCGCACAGACATACACACACACGCGCACATACATACACACACGCACAGACATACACACACGCGCACAGACATACACACACACGCGCGCACAGATATACACACACACGCGCACAGATATACACACACACGCGCACAGACATACACACACACGCGCACATACATACACACACGCGCACAGACATACACACACGCGCACACACATACACACGCGCGCACACACACACACGCGCACACACACACGCGCGCCCGCACACACGCGCCCGCACACACACATACACACGCACCTACACGCACGCACCCACACGCACGCACCCACACGCACCCACACACACGCACCCGCACACACGCACCCGCACACACACGCGCACACACACACGCGCACACACACACGCGCACACACACACGCGCACACACACGCACGCACACACACCCACACACGCACACACACACACACACACACACACCCACACACACGCACACACACACATCATCGCGAAAATAGTCAAAACGGATTAAGGGGACCTCAAAACGTAAAAATTCGTCGGAAAAAATCATGATTATCACATCTGTATACAGATAGGAAAGTAAAAAAGTATACATAAAATGCGAAAAATGAAAAACAAACTTAATTAATTTAATACAGTCATCAACTTTCTTAGGCTAACATTAAAGATATCTGTTTAGACTTTTTCTCAAATATTTCGATTATGGTATAAATCATGTATAGGACAAAAATTAAAGAGAATGACAAGCAACTTTTATTTGAAAAATTTTCTTAAATATTCGAAATTTGCACTTTTTGTAAACTTTATTAAACACCAACCATTTTAGGAACATTACGTACCTGTAGTATAAAAATTATAGAGCAACACTAATAACTTTTATTTAAAGAATTTTCTTTTCCAAACGTAAATAACATATATTCCATGGAGTTAAAAAACGACCCCCTATAAAGTACCCCTCCCCCTAGATGTTTCGACTATGCCTAAAATGAAATCAACTCATTAGAGAATAGATCAAACCTTAAGTTTAAAATTTAGTGTTTTTTTATTTTATCCGTTCATGATTTATTGAGTATACAGACACACATACACATACATCATCGCGAAAATAGTCAAAACGACTTCAGGGAACCTCAAACCGTAAAAAACCGTCGAAAACTCGAAAAAAACATGATTCCTATACTTTCGTTATCTGTATATAGACAGAAAAGTAAAAAATGTATTGTCATTAAATTAATTCCTTTTTAAATAAAATACATTTTAATTAAAACGTGTATGGCCCCCTATAAAATATAAATAATTTTATTATGCATTAAAAAAAATCAAGCGAAATGGAGACAATTCTGGACCACCTTGGAAATATTTTCTATACAAGTAGATCAGAAATTTTATGATCTATTCCAAAAATGGCATTTTAAAATTAATATTAATTGATGGCAAACCGTCGATAAACTTAAATTAATTTTACACAAGATGGCTAAGTCAATGCACCTACTTCGACAATGGCGAATAGGTGAAATGTCAACTGACTGCGCGCGATTTTTAACTATTGATAGTGATTGCTCAGCGACTGCAAGAGATTTCGGGAAGACTGCGAGGGAATTTTGAACGACTGCAAGAGATTTCGGGAAGACTGCGAGGGAATTTTGAACGACTGCGTTGATTTCTTAGCGATTGCCACTGATTTTGATGGGACTGCAGAGATTTTCAATGGGATTGCGGACATTTTGTACATGTATTGCGGGAGTGATTCGCCCCTCGTGTTAATGCTTCTTAAAACTAAATCAGGCTGACTAAACACACCTTTAATAATTTCTAAATGAAATGCATATAACTAAATATTTTCCGAGTAAAACTGACCAATTGTTGCAAAATTTTAATTTTTCTAACCTACCTATGTTGTGTTGGGAATGGGGTGTTAATACACTGCGACCTAAAAGATCTATTGTGCCATCTTCTGTCGCTAATGCAGCAAGGAAATGTCTCAATGCCTATAAAAAAGTATATAAATGAACAAAATATTATTTTTAAAATGGACTAAAGTTAATTAAACACTAAAATACAGTTATTACTTACAAGATTAAATTTGACAACCTCCCACCACAGAAATAATATATAAAAAAAAAACAATAATATCATCTCTTTTATAGTTTTTCATTTTTAGAGTTCAAGTAATAAGTGAATAGCTTATAAAATTGCAGCCTTTGATACAAATTGTTAGGAATTCTCTATAGACACGTTAAAAAGACTTTGTCTCTAGTAGTAACTCAATTACAATGCTTCTATTATATGGTCACCACAATACCAAATTCACTCGGTAGTGTTGAAGAGAGTGCAGAATAAATTCGTTAGGTATTGTGTATACAATATGCCAAATGTAGACCATAACTATGATCTGATTCTAACTTAATTAGATTTTTGTTTACTGCAAACTAGAAGACAGAACTGAATTTTATTTTGTATTCAGATTATTATATGGGAATATCGATTGCTCATATCGTCTTGAAAGTATACTTACCAAATAGAATTCGAATTTATTTGAAATATCAATCCACAGTGGTACTAATTATGGCAAGCACTCTTCACTTGAACCGTAATAAACTTCTTTAATATTTTATTTTTCTGAATTATTTTAGTTTACATCAGGAGATTGAACATTTTTATGCCTACATGAGTCCTACAGATGCTGAAGACAAAATTCGGGCAGAAGTGGTTGCCCGAATTGATAAGATCATTACATCAAAATGGCCTGAAGCTAAAGTAGAAATCTTTGGGTCATACAGAACAGGACTTTACCTTCCCACTAGTGATATTGATCTGGTAGTTATAGGTATGTATAGACAGATACAAGTATGTTTATTAGAAATTTTAAATTTACTAGTGAATAAAAATATTAATTTTTACTTAATAATGAAATTCATACATATATTCTCCTATTGTATTTGATAGTGTGGCATACATTAACATAATATAGTTTTGTATATTTTTGTATACCAATGAAGCAATTAACGTTTCAATAATTAAAGCTGTAGCAACATAAAATAATAACTTAGTCTCATAAAATATAAAAAATAGTTATAATAAACAGTCCCCTTTGTTTTTTCCAATTTTTTTATTCTGAAATTCTAAAAATATAATAATGCCGTATTTTGTATTTTAATTTTAAAGGTTTCTAAAAAAAAGCAAAAAAGGAATAAAAGTAACAAGAAACTATTTAGACAATATAAAATTCAATAATATATTAAAAATTCTACAAAATTTTGGTAATAATCATTTTTAAGTGCAAATAATAGGTATGTTTTAAATATTAGATAAATTTATCTACTCTTTGATAATATTGTTTTTAATTGTGAATGATAATGAAGTAGTAGAGACCATTCATGTTTTAAAATATGATTAATATTCAAAATAATAAAATATTTTTGTTTAATTTAATTTTAAACATATGATAAGAAAATCCAATTTTTACTTTAATTTAGAGTGTTTATTTATAATAGTTCAAAGTATTGGTTGTTTTTTTTTAATGCATATTTTATCTTCAGTTGATAGCCTATTGGATTGAATATTCAGTTCAGTAAAGGACAATTGGAACAAAACCGAATAAATCCACCATAAACTATTTTTGAAAATTTCCAATTTCACAAAAATAATGTGTTTTGCGTTTGTTGAAAAATACTATCGATGACGTCATTAATAATACAACCTTTATAATTATAATTTAAAAAAAATATTTATACCAAAAATATAATAAACAAAAATGGTTTAATTCAGTTTTACAAGAAAACATCGATTTCAAATCTGAATTTTACAAAGAATTATCCGATTTTTTTCGAACAGATAGTTTATAAAGATGTAATTTAGTCAGGTTCTAGCACGTCTTCTATTTTCTTAATTATTAAATTAGTAAATTGGGAAAAGATAGGAATTAGAGTGTTTTTCTTTTTTTTAAATTTAGATAGACTTTTAAAAGAATAGATTTGTTAAATTCCTAACCGTGGGAAATAAGGGAATTGAATATTGTTATTTTTTTTATTGGTTTAGTTTGACTGTTCGCGATTTTTTTTTTCTACTGAAGGGGAGGGTATCATTTCCTGTTTTGAATATAAAATCTCCGTTCCTTTATTTTTCCGTCCTGGCTACTCCCAAATAACTCAGTGAGGGCTTAAAGTTCCCTGTGTTATTTTCGTTCCTAGCTTTCCGCAATTAACTCAGTGAGGGCTTAAAGTTCCCTGTGTTAGTTTTCCTTTCTGTCCATTCCCAAATAACTCAGTGAGGGCTTAAAGTTCCCTGTGTTATTTTCGTTCCTAGCTATCCGCAATTAATTCAGTGAGGGCTTAAAGTTCCCTGTGTTAATTTTCCTTCCTGTCTATTCCCAAATAACTCACTGAGGGCTTAAAGTTCCGTGTTATTTTTCTTCCTAGATATCCCTGTCCGACCTGGGGTTATAATAATAAATAACAATAAGAGGTAGTGTGGGTTTGATTCACCGTAACTTGCTCATTGGCTTCAGGGGTTTTAAAAAACGAAACAAACATTTAGAAAGATTTCGAGTGGTCCTCACGAGTTGCAGAAGTGCCGCAGTTTAAATTTTTAAAATTCATACTAGCCTTGATTTAAATTTTGATTTATTACCGTAAATTTTGGAATTTTTAAAATTAATATTATCCTTGATCAAAATTTTGATTTGCTTTGCGATTTAAACAATTACCGTAAACTTAAATTGTTGAATCCGTATTATCCATGATTTACAATTAGATTTTTTTGCGATTTAAGAGTAATTGCCGTAAATTTAGAATTCCTACTGAGCGAGATTTAAATTTTGAGCTTAGTCTGAGATTTCCGAATACATTTTTTTTATACGCGACCCCTTCACCGTATCCAGTTTAAGCAGTCTGATTGAGAATACCTGCCAACTATATCAGCCGTTCGTTACCGTTTTGTTTTGCTTCATTTTTTTTTTGTTCAGGGTTTCATAACGGAGGGTGGGCGTTGAATTATATTATTTTTATTTTTTTTCAACTGTATATAGTTCAATCAATATATGTGTCAACATTACCGTGACTATTACTGAGTTTACTAATCCCCAATTTAATTCCCCCTTATTTTTCTAAGTAACCTTTGGTACCTGGAATTTTTCATCTCCATCTGTGCTGCCCGAGTACTTTCGACGCCGTTTCGAGAGTTTGTGGAGTAAACTATCACCAAAAATCTGGCGCTCGAGAACCGTCCGTAACCAGCGCCATTCGTAAGGAACCGTTTTCTCTGAGGCGAGAAAACCCCTTACAAACAAGCAAGCTTGCTTGATCTTCATTATGTATTCGCTTATTGTTATTTATCTTATGTTTTGTCATGCGAGAAGGCCACAGAGAGTAATAGGGTGTTTGTGTCCCAAAAAAGAATACAATTTTTCGTGTTACGCATACGACTAGTATAGAAATTAATAAAATGGCAACAGGGCAACAGTCAGTCGTCGCAATCGACTAGATTAGAAGATATTATGGTGGTAGGATATTAGCCGAACCCAATATCAGTGACTAAACCATAGCAATAGCGGGGATATCGTAGTTGCCACATGTTCACTGTAAAGGCACGGCTATGCCTAATTAAAAATAATAAGTACTGTATATATATTTTCAAATGCACTATTACAAGGAAATACCTCTGAATTTATTAAACAATCTCAAACTCATTCTCATCACACAAGGAATGACAACTTAAGACTCCCTAGCTACCAGACAGTGACTTTCAGAAGGTCTCATTTGTATAACTGTATTACTATCTATAATGCTTTGCCTGAAGAACTAAAACTACAAGCAATATACGAATCTTTAAAAAAAAAGTTAAAATATACCTACAAAAAAGCTATTTTTACTCTATTTCTCAATAAAACAGTGCGATACAGGTTTGCAAAAGTAAATTATTATTGGTACATTTTACATTATATATATATATATATATATATATATATATATATATATATATATATATATATATATATATATATATATATTGTACGACTTGCCTTATGTATCTTTATGTAATGAAGGTTAATAAATTATTCTATTATATACCGAACCAATGTCAACATGGCAGTGGCGTTAATCCATTTTAAAGTCGATTTTCAAAACTGAATTAGGTCTTTATTATCATGATGGTGGGTGAGGTTTTCCGGGTTTTCCTCACCTGTAAGTCAAATGGCACCATCAATCATCTTTGAGTCGCCCCGGAGCGCCACTGCAAATAATAATAATAATAATAGCCGTCCCTTTCCCTGGACAAGCTCAGCTTTTGGGGTTAAAATTCACTCATAAGGGGGTAAATTAGGGAGATTATTATTATTATTATTATTATTAACGGGTATTTTAAAAATATAACATTTTTGTTAATTTGAAGAAAGTCAAACTATTAACTACTTTTAATATGTACATATCGTACTATGAGTACAAGACTACCATAACTCAAAAAACAATCAACTGAGAAAATGGCGTTTGAAGTTTTCAGATTTTTTGTTTTACAGTTTTTTAATTGCTATCTATTAAATTTTTATTTATTTGGATTTCATGATTCTTTAAACCCTCATTTATTACCTTCTCTTTAGTTATTAAACAAAATTTTATTGACAAATTGTAAGAAATCGACAGAAAATAGAGTTATGTTGTTATTGCACTAACTTTATTCGTGCTATTGTGGAATATTTGCCAAATAAGCAGAGCTGGGGAGGATTCGAATCACATAGGATTCGAATTCTTTTTGAGGATCCGAGAGCGGGATTCGAATACTTTAGAAAAAAAGGATCCGTGATCCGGATTCGCAGAGAAAATCCTCGTATTCGAATCATCAATATCAGTCTCGGATCCTTTTAGAGACCAAACTACGCCGGCGCGAACGGCCGACTCAAGCTTTGACTTGTCGCGAATTGTAAACTAAAAACTAAAACAGACTGAGACTGAATAGAAAACCGATGTATTTGGCGTTGTGCACGATTACAGAATTAACAAATCAAAAAAGGAGGAGGTTCTCAATTCGTCGCGATATTTTTTTTATGTATGTTCAGCGATAATTCTTTAACACAGTGTCCGAGTTCAATGATTCTTTTTTGTTAGAAAGGGGGTACTTCAGGGGTGGTTCCATATAAATTTGGTCAAAATCTAATAATTGGGTCCATGACAAAATCCTCAAACTCTTCATTTTTTATGTATGTTTAGCGATAATGCTTTACCACCTTGTCCGATTCATATGATTCTTTTTTTGTTAGTAAGGGGGTACCTCAAGGCTGCCGTCCTATGAAAGACTCACGTATCTCCAGAAAACATTTTGAGAAAAACGCAGTTTAAAATGTTTTGTTTGGGCGCAAAGCTATATACAGGGAAATAATTTCCTATGATAAAATTAGGAAATAATTATCATATACATAAATAATTGGATAATTGCAAATAAGTAAAGTTCTTTTTAGCTAAATGATTTTAAATTTTAGTTATATTTAAATTAATAAAATCTTAAAATATTTGTCCTTGTTTAGTTAATATGCATTGTTGCAATTTAGATCTGTAAGGAACTATCGAATTTAGGTTTTTACATTCCACCGGAAGTGCGTTAAATATTTTAGGACCGAGGTATAAAACAGTATTAGATTCGAAAGCAAATATAATTAATATCACAGTATAACACTGACAGTGATTCGTATCCGTGATCCGAAAAAAAGGAGTCGAATCTTTTTTTTTTTTTTTTTAAGGATTCGAACATTGGATCCGTGATTCAAATCACATCTCGTGATTCGGATTCGTGATTCGAATCCATTTTTCGAGGATTCGTCCCAGCTCTGCAAATAAG